GGGAGGAGGGGACGGGTATTTGTATACACAAGGAGTGCAATGCGCACTATCCGAAGGATGGACATATTTGAAACACGGACTTCGGGGTGGGGAACCAAGGGCAACATACGTAACCTAAACATCTGTACCCCATAATATGCTGAAATAAAAAAAAAAAGTTTCATACTTATAAAAAAAAAAAGAATTAGTGGCAGGCAATAATTAGACACTTTACATATGTTATTTCATTTGAACCTTATAATAGCTTTATTTCACCTCGTTTTACAAATGAGATACTTGAGCTAATAACATACCCAAGGTGACACGGTCAGGAAATAGTGTTGTTTAAATGCAGGTCTTTCTAACTCCATGCTATTAGTAATCGCCCTATGTAGTAAGATAGTTGAAGACACAGAGGGCACAGGTCAGGGACAGTGTGGCACAAAGCCCAGCTGCAGACTGTAGTGGGCAGGGAGGCTGGGCAACCAGGCAGCCCCACCAGCTAAGGGCAAGTTCTCAGAGAAGGAGTAGTCATGAGCCCATAGCTGCCAATCCCCAGACTGGTAAAGGGGACCTGGTCTGGGCACGTACAGCCTTCACTTCTGTAGCACTGCTGGCATTCTAAAAGAAGACTCCAAGAAAAGTAATCCCTTGACCCAAAGGAATGTATCTTTACCACTTCAGGTCCTATGGCAAGTTGTTGCAGGAGATACTTCTGTATCAAAGGATAGTGGTGGGGGCTTTTAGAACCCTGAAGTTATACCCATAGGAGGCTATCCAATACTACTGTTTTAAGTCCAATAGGATTTATAGTTTGACGAAGTGATTTTTGTATACATTATTCATTTGATCATTACAAAAACCTTATGAAGTAGATGGCAGTTTTCATCGGTCCCATTTTGCAGGAAGGTTAAGTGGTTCAATCTCAGAACTTAAATGCAATAAAGCGGGACCTAGAACTTGCTTCTGACTTGAGATCGAATGCCCCTCCAATGTTTTATACATGATTTGGTTGGATGGACACTGCAAAGAACATAATACCCACCTAGGGTGACCAGCTTTTTGCCCAGGACTTTTCTGGTTCTAAAACTCAAAGAGACCAAGGGCTAGTCTCTGGGTCTAGACACAGTGCCCAAGGCCCACAATGCATTTAAGATCCACAGAAGTGCTCAATTTTAATTACTTTCAACAGCAGAAGAAAAATATGCATTTAATAATAAAATGAAGCCAGCCTGGATTATATTCATACTAACATAGTCACAAAATATAATTTTAATTTGTGTGATATATGTGTGTGTGTAAGAAGGGGCCATGAAGGCAAAAGTACCATATAGTCATAACTCAGCTCTGGGGAACTGGATCAGTCCCTGGCAAACTGGGACTGTGGTTTGCCTTAACCCCTTAACACCTTAACAGTAGTGGCTGGTCATAGCTAAGGAACTTTGAGCTTTCCCATGTGGTGGTTGCCTAAGATCATGAGTGTTGCCTCAGATCTATGATTTCCATGCATCTGGCTTCCTCCCTTCTGGTTATGTGTCAGTTGCTTGAGTTTGCTTTGGCTTCCCTGAGAAGGAGCAGATGCACCCTCTTTGGGCATTCCTGACACCATGCTATGGGTTCTAGCACAATGTCTCTCTCTCCCTCTTGACTATGACCAGGTACTTGTCTAACTCATCTTTTTGTCCCCAGCTCCTAGCTCAGTGCCAGGCCAGGCACACTGTAGGCGCTAAATGCATATTTATTGATTGAAAGAATGAATTAATTGATGGTCTGATTCAACCAATTGCTTGTTATATAACATTGGGGACACTAAATGCCCTGGGACTCATTTTTTCCATTTGCAAAATAAGTATGTTGGAATAAATGAACTGTCAGGTTTTTAGGGAGTACTTTGTGTTATGTATTTGTTATGCCAGATCATGTGACTTTGTCAATGTCATTGAAAAGTGTGCCTCAGTTAGCCATGACATAGTCATTTACAGATTCTTAGTAATTGCTGTGCTTTCTTCCATTCCCATTTTTCTTTTAGGTCCTTACTGGAAGGCAGCATGTCCAATTTTGCCTTGAGAAAAACGTCTCCCACAGGAAATGGTAATGTAGATGTTTCCCTTACTCAGAAAACTTAAAGATCTAAGAAAAACAACACACAGATCCTAATTCTTTACTACAGATATTGAGTGCTTAGAAACAACAATCTAATTTAATTACCCTTGTCAAAGTGAGGCTTAAGAAAAAGTTAGAGTGTTACAGCTTTTACTCATATAATTGTGATTCAAAGATTTTTTTTGGAAAAACTTTGGGCGTTTTTTAAAAAAATGGGTGTTTTTTTAATGTGACCTTCTATGCTTCTGGCTCTCATAAGATCAAAGAATTATTTACTTATAATCAAATGCACTGGGATTTATTGACTATTATTTAGTAGGTACTATAAAAATGTTCCTGCATGTACTTCTGAGTCAAATTTCTTATTGAGTAAAATGGCCAATCGAATAAACTCTGGCTCAGTTTATTCCAGGTTGTTGGTTCTGCCTTCCCAGCAGCTGGATGGGGCCTCATGAGCTGCACCGGCAGTTTCAATTGGCACCTGAGCAGTTGTATATGTTATCTTTTATTATGGGGTGTGGGATTTGTTTTTTCTTGCTGGTGCATCCTACTTGGAAACTGTACTAGACTTGCAAGCCTAGAAGATTGATGCTGGCCAATCAGATGTGCCTCTCCTGATGTTCAGGTTAACAAGCTCACACTCAGCACCACAGTTACATCTCCCAATTTTTCATGTTTGTCTTCATAGATATGAAGAGTTCCACTCAGGGGGCCAGACTGAGACAACAGGGGTTTCACGACGTTAACAAAAGAAGAACTTTCTTACAGGATAATAGCTGGATAAAGAAACGTCCTGAAGAAGAAAAGTAAGAGGGTCTGGAGAGTGGTGGGTGGATGGATGAGCAGCGAGAAGCATTCTCTGTTTGGGAAGCTAATGGCCATCTGAAAAGCAAACGCTTTTCTTTTAAAAACACTTTGTGGCATGGTCTAATTTTTGGTAAGATTTATTAAGCATAAATTGATTTCATCGGATTTTCAAGAGTATCTCTACCATTTTTAATATCCACATACATAAGAGAATGTGAGTCATTACTGAGAGAGAGCCTGGTTGTCACCTAGAGTAGGCATATGTACTTACTTGGTAAACTGAAAAGAAAATGTGACTTTCCAATTTCCAAAAAGGTAACAGTTAATCTATGATAAGGAGATTCCTGATATGGGTTGATCATGTCAGTTGAAATGAACACATAATGGTATAATTCCAAATTTACAAATTTAATAATAAATTCCCAACTCATTTTAGTCCCGTCTGGCCATTTAACTCTAGGTATTGAAAGGGTAGGAAATGTGCTATTACTTTGTAAGGGAAAGTGTTTACCATCAAATAAATTTTGTCTGCTTTGAGCATTGATCCTACTAGCTATAGGTTTAAAGATCTGAAAACTATGACCATAGGCATACAGCCTCATTGCTAACATAGATTTTTAATATATATTTGTCTAGACTATATATTTATTATAAATTATGTATACATTATAGATTATGTGTACAAATATATACATTTTCTGATTTCCTTATGTGTTAAGCTTGATGCTAGATACTTTACATATAAAGCATCTTTAAATCTCAGAGCAAACACAAAAGATAGATATTGTATCCTCCTTTTATAGAAGAGACATCTAAGGCTCAGAGAAGTTAAGTAACTAGTCCAATGACACACAGCTATTAAGTGGGTGGAATTGAGATTTTAACATGGTCTATTGTCTTTTCATTACACAAGTATTTCTCAACCAGAGGCAATTTTACCTCCTGGGGACATTTGACAAGTTTGGAAGACATTTTTGGTTGTCAAAATTGGGATATGCTCCTGGCATTTAACAGGTAGAGCTTAGAGATGTTTCAAAACATTCTGTAGTGCACAGGCCAGCCCCTACAACAAAAAATTGTCAAATCCAAAATGTCAATAGCCCGGAAGTTGAGAAATCCTGAATTACAGGGTACCTGCTCTAAACTATCTACAAATTATTCATATATGGTTATTTGAGGGGCATCTTTGTGGATGTTAAATAAAAAAATCTATTAATTTCTGTTATTGAATCTTATTATATTAAGGAAATATAGGGGTGCTTAGAGACTCACAGTAATTTTTGGAGTTAGTATTATTGGACAACAATCATTGCCTTCTATGAAACAGTACTCATTGCTTCTGTAAGAGCCTAATGTGGCATTTCTATCTTTCTGTAGTGGTAATGTGATGTCAAATATAGACCATAAATTTTGGATTGCAAGTATTTATACAGATAGGTGAAGAGAGAATGTAGAAGACAAATCATAGTTGGAAGGAATGCTGCTTTTATGCCAGGCATGCCTCCTTAAGAAAAAGCCAGGGAAGCCAGCTTGCGTAGCATAGCAGCTACTGAATGAAGGGGAAATTGGCTCTGATGCTTCCCTAACTCCCACTGGCCCAGTTCTAGGCTGTGTGTTGTGATTCTTCTTTGGATAAGAACACACCTGGTGTCTACTACTCTCTCACAAGTTTTAGGAAGAGATACCAAGGAAGATGTGAAAGTTCTCTTGGGATCTTTGAGGGTGTATATTTGCTGGCATTGTTTCAGTTTCACTACTTATCTTTCTTTTTAATTGTCTATTATAATTCATTTATAGCTTAATTAAAAATGGTTACAGAGTGTTGGGTAATGTTAGTGGAGAAGAACCAGGAAAAATGTGGTATTTCAGGTTTGGTTGGGCTGATGTGAAAAAGGTTCAGATACCTACTCTTTGCTTTGGTTCAAGTCCCGAGGCTCTACTACATGTTTTGACATTTCCTAAAATTGCCTGTACTTTCAGGCCCATGGCATAAAGTGAGAAAGACATGGCTTTGGGATTTTATGTATGAAGGTTTATTTTAGGGTTAACTAGTAGAAAAAGCAAAGATTTTGAAGAAAAAGATCTGGGTCCTAGACCCACCTCTGTCACCTGCTAACGTTGTGGTCTTAGGAAAGCCACAAAATGCCCCATCAATTTCCTCATTTGTGAATTGGATATGACAGTGTCTTCCCTGACTAATTCATAGGGTTATTTTAAAGACCAAATAGAACAAACTATGTATTCTCACAGTTCAAAAACTAAGTCTCCTGTGAATTGTCAATCTTCTCAACCACAAATATTGGTACTTGTTTTCCTACATTTTGTCAAGGAAAACTGTCAAGTCCACCAACATATCCAGACATAATGGGCTTAATTAAATTCAAACAATATTTGTAGAAAGCTTTTGTATTTGCCTTCTTGCAGAAAAGGACTTTTCTAATACATATAAAGTAGATGGCCTTGTGTTCCCACACTCTGATAAACGAAACAAAACAAAACACTCATTCATTGTTGAATCATGTGGCAATCTCATGGGGTAAATGATCATTTGTACTGACAAACTTGTTTCTTTTTGCCATGTTCTTTCAAGTGGTGACTGGTTAAAATAGATACATGGTTGTGTTCTTATGCCTGAAGTAAAATAAATTAACCTTCCAAAAAATTGGAAGCTCTCTCCCCTGTCTCTCTCATTTAGTGCTTGGCAAATATTGTGGCAACTTTTCATGTGACATAATTTCATTCTTTCTCTGCAGAGATGAAAATTATGGTAGGGTGGTGCTCAGCAGACACAATTCCCATGATGCCTTGGACAGGTGGGTGTTTAGGCAAGTTACATCATTGACAGAAGCACAAAGATGGTCGTTTTTTTTTGGTTTTTGTAGATGACATGATTTTATATGTAGAAAATCCTGAAGACTCCACACAAAAACTCCTGTTAGAAACAATAAATGAATTCAGTAAAGTTGTAGGATGCAAAACCACCATACAAAAATTAATTGCATTTCTATACACTAACAATGAACTATACAAAAAAGAAATCAAGAAATAATTCTCATTTACAATACCATCAAAACAAATAAAATAATTAGGCATAAACTTAACAAAGGGGGTGGGAGACTTGTATACTGAGAACTAAAAAACATTGATAATGAAATTAAGGAAGAAAAAATAAAGGGAAGGATATCCTGTGTTCATGAATTTGAAGATTTAATATTGTTAAAATGTCTATGCCACCCAAAGTAATCTAAAGATTTAGTGCAATCTCTACCAAAATTCTTTTTTTTTTTTTGTCCAAAAGATGGTAGTTTTGAAAGAAGACTTATTCAAGTCCGCTGAATCTTTGTAGCTAGCCTCAGGCTTTCCCTCATATTCTGGGCAGGTGAAGAAGAATCTAATATAATCGGGGCTTACCACAGGGCACCAGTGGTGCTTCTCCAGCTCTGTTCTCCCAGAACTATGGCTTGGAGGCAGAACACAATCACACCTCTGTCCCCTTCGCAGAGATGGTCCTCCTCTTATAGAAACATAACCAGGTGAGATATCTCTGAGCCTTATAGAAAGAATCCCAAAATACAGAAATAACAGCTCCAGAGTTCAATTGCTTTATGGGAGAATACAATTCTTTTTGGAAACTCCTGGGCTTGTGGGAAAACACTGATCCTCAGTGGCAAATAGACTTCCAAATGCAAGTTGGTAGGAAAATTCAGACAAAACTTGTAATCACAATGATGTAAATCATCTCAGACCGATCAAGTAAATAGATAATATTTTTATTAAAACACATCTCTACTTGGAATGCATACAAACAACCACACCCATCGAACCTAATTATTTATCAGATGCAAGTTTTATCTGGTCTAGTGGCTTGTGTCTGTTTCTCACCAAGAGCTACTTAGTGAGGAAGTATGGTTGTCTTTCGTGGTGTAGATTTTAAAAAGTTAAGTAGACATCTTGAATATGTCTATTTTGGAAACTTTTATCTGTGAATTTCTTTCAACCGTTTTAAACCTTTTCATAATTTTGACCTGTTTTCTATGCAAAGTAGCCATTTCATTTTCCTAATACTAGCGTTAGTTCAGCTGATTCGCTGTTCTGTGATCTGGCAGACTCTCTACCTAGGTCCACTCCTAACTGTCATGATATTGAAGATTACAGTCTGATTCTCAGTTGGCCCTCATCTCACCAACGAAGGGGAGGCTCATTGAGTTCAACCACCAATGGAAATTACTCCCTCCATTTTATTGACCCTTCTCTTGAACTACTAAAGAACATAGACACTTGTTTTGAAGGGTGATAGTGAAAACCAAGCTTCATATTCTTAGTGTTCATACGGTGTGCTTTAGGATAACAGAAACTTAATGCTTTCCATGTCTGTTTTGTACTTTAAATTATATTGGTTGCCTGGCCCCTCCCTCTTGGTGGCCAGCATTTTGGCCAAAGTAGCACATGAGGCTTTTATCTTTGGTAACAACAATCTCTAAGCCCTAGACCTACAACTAATATCACAGAATACACCTCCCTCAAAGAATAGGGAAGATTGTTTTTCTCCTGGCACTTGCTCACATTACGCTGCTTGTAATTTTTCTGCCCCAAGGAGGCTGTCTTTACTTTGATGTTCATTCAACAGCCACTTTGGAGCACCTACTACGTGCTGGCATTGTGCCAGGTGCCGGGAATACAAAGATGTGTGAGTCACAGTCTTTGACCTTAAGAGTTCTTGCATTCGTGGAAAACTATCCATAAACTAAAATAAAATACTAAAATTTACCATGGAAAGTGCTATTGTAGAGGCGTATGAGCGTGATATGGAAATAGGAGAGAGAGACTGACTGTGCCTGAGTAATTAATTGAAGACCTCACCAAGGAAGTAGTCTTTGGTGTTGACACTGCTTCTTAAAGGATAAGGAGGAAAAGTTTCTCAAGTAGGCAAGGCTGGCTGGTGGGCATGGGGCGGGAAAGAAGCACTTCCAGCAGAGAGGACAATGTGTGCCGAGTGCAGGTGTAAGCAAGGACCGAAAATAAAGGAAAAGGAAAATAAATAATATGTTCTCCTAACCTTAGATGACAGCTTCATATTATCTATAAAGTAGGAGATTTTCTGTGTATGTCTTTCGATGGATTACTTAAATATGTCAAATAAGGCTAGTAGACAAATAGTGCCTGTGGGATGCCACTGTGAGCCAGATTCTGTGCTAAGGACTGGGGACAAAACAAAGTCCCCTCCTCCATAGACCTTGCCTCCTAGTTGAAGATGAGCCAGGGGAGAGAATAACACAATATAGTAGAAATAACACAATGTAATGTGTCTTGTTGTGATAAGCTTTAGAAAGATTACAGCCTGCGAAAGAGATATAAAGTGATGGTGTCTGTTGAGGGGCTGTTTTATGGAAGGGGTCGGAGGGCCCTCCAGTACCTGTTTGCATTGGAACCTTATACACAATGGCGAGCCACACCATGATTTCACTCCGAGGTTTCCTCAAAAACCTGGGGAGTTACACTGGGCATTTTTCTATGCTTTTTTCTAGCCTTAACTGATACTGTTCCCTCTACCTCAGTTTGAATATGTTCACATCTATTTATCTTCCAAGGCCCAGCTCAAACTGCGCCTCATCCACAAAACCTTCTCTGGTTTTTACATTTGGAAATCAGCTTTCTCAGCTTAGAACTTTGTTGTACTTTACCTCTGAGCCTCTTTCATGACGCTGACCACTTTCCGCCTTTGGATGTACATACCTGATTTGTCTGTCTTGCCCTGTGTGGGTAGCATCTATAGTTATTTTATTCCAGATGTCTTCATGGTCATGGGCATAATACTTTGTATATTGCCGACTTCCAAATTCATGCTCAATTAAAATATAGTAGATCAAGTTTAAAATTGAATCTGGAGTATCCAGTCTTAGTAATTATCCTAATTCAATACATTTGATCTGTTGGCTTTAAATAATGCTTTGAAATGTAAACACAATAAATCATGGTATAATTCCCCAAAGAACTTGCTTTTTTTATATTGCAGGATTATATGAGGCATTAAACAGGCTTTTTTTCCCCTTTTGGATCAGTCTGATCAGGATATTTTCACTGCTTCCACGATCGTGATTCCTCCTTTCGAGTCTCCTGTCCTTCCTTCCCTTAATTTGTTTTCTTTCCTCTCCTCCCCTGCCTTCTTTGGCTCATTTGTCTTCCTCTCTTCTTTGCTTTCCATCTCTCCTCTCCTTACTTCTCCCTATCACTCTTCTTTTTTCCTCTTCTTTCCATACCTCTCCTTTCTCTCATCTTCCACGTTCTTCTTTTTCATTTCTTTTCCCAGATTTTCCTGTTTCCTCCTTTTTCTTTCTTTCTTCTCTGTCCCTCCCATTCTTCTGCCAGTGAGTTCTTTTCTTCCAACCCTGTCCACGGTGCTGAATGTTCAATAAAGCATTTTAGTATTTAGCCCACCGTGCTGGCTTATGGCACTGCTAAAACTCTGCAAACTAAACGTAGCTGATTATAAGGGATTGAGTTCCTATTATGTAAAAATCAATAGCATTGAGGAGAGTACATATTAGTTATTAACCATTTTGTACGTTGTGTTGTTTGTTTTACATACGCTTATCCCCAATTTGAATATGTCACATTGTAGTTAGAAATAATTACAGCCAGAGACGAATCCTTTATTAGCATAGGGAATTGGGTTTGCCATAATTTATTCTATCCGAGTAAAAAAAAAAAATTTGGAAGATTTGGGTACTCCAAATCTGTCTTTCCTTGATAACATGTACATTTCCTACCTATATAGGTCAAAAGTTTGCCAAATGTTTGGTAGGTTTTGTAAACTATGTTTGTGTTATTTATTTGATCTTTTGGTAATTATTTTTGCTATAGGAAAATACATGAGAGACAAGAGCCAAAAGCTACAATTAGTCGGTATAGATCTGATGACACTTTGGACAGGTAAGGTGCTTTTGAGCCATGTAAGTGGAATGCATAACATATATTGAATTCCCTGTCTTATAAAGTTATGAGGTGTTTAATTGTTTATCAAAATATGCTTTGAACTCCTGATATTTTATTCCCAGGGACAGGGGCTCCAAGGATTGAATTATCTTCTTCAAAACTCCCAAAATCTTGACTAGATACATTGTTTTCCTAAAATTCTGCTAACAGTAGATTGATATGAAAAATTCTGAGAGACACTGATTTGAGTACAGGTACGGTGGGCACTACATGGAATCTGTTCAATTTAAAATGAAGAATATAGTTATTTTTGTGAATATGAATAGGTCTTGTTCTAACATTTGGTTCTTCCATCTTGATGGTGTAAAAACGGCAGTTTCTGTAAAACTTTTTTATGGAGAGATTGCAAATTTTAATAATACAATAGTCTTGATACACTGTAGGATAAAGACATTAGCTCTTTACAAAGTGAAACTGCTCTTTCAGCACTAGAGTCACTACATGGCTTGTAGAATGAGTCCATTGTGTTGTGCCTGTTATTAGTTTCCTCTTATGTCAAGGAAAAGTCTCACCTCTATAGAGAAAATTGGGAAACTTCTATTCAGGTTGACATGCAATGCCACAAATAACATTTTTAGTTTAGATTTGGTAGAGATGCTTAGTAAGCATAAGTAAAGGACAAACTTAACATCTTTCATAGGAGTCTAAGCACCATGGACACCCCAAGCCAGTGATAGCTGAGTTCACTCCCTGTAGCTAAAGATATGCTGCAGTTGTAGGCAAAAATGGTACCTACTGGGTTGTGATCAAATATGCTGAAATTTACAGCATCTAATAGACTCTGTATTCAGACTATGCTGGTGTTGATTAATATAGCGAATGTATATACTTCTGTACTATTCATAGGCTTTCAAAGTCAGTCTCCCTAATCAACACTGGTATTCTAAGGAGATGGCTCTCTCTTCTTTTAATTATCAGCCTTATCAAAAATGAGTTTGCAGAAGTTAATGTACAAGATCTCATCTCCACAGAAGTGCACGAAGAAGAGGTAGACAAAATACTTCTGTTCATTTTTCCTGGCCTTGCAGACTGTCCTATCGCATAGTTAATTGAAGAAGGAAACGCTATTTCTAGGAATGAATTTTAAAGTGAGATAATTGAACCTCAATAAAGGTGGGGGATCCAAGCTTTTGTAGGCTGTGTGTCTGAAAGTTTTTGTCAGGCCAGTCAAAACACAGCCTTGGAATGTTAGAAATGGTCTAGACCTCACAGGGGTCCAGTTAAGTCATTCTCAACTGTAGCTGCAAACGAGAACCACTGAGGAGCTTTTAAACTTTATTGACACACCTTGGTCCTACTGCCCCTCATTCCCCCAATTCTGATTGAATTAGCCTGAGGTGGAACTCAGGCATTTTTTTCAAGCTTATAAAGTATTTCTAATGTGCAGCCAAGACTCAGAATCATCAATATAGCCCAAACCATTCACTTTATACACTAGAAAATGGGGCCAGAGATTAAGGGATTTATTTACACAGAGGTTTAGTGGCATACTGGGGAGAAGTGCCCTGGTCAGCTCATTTGCAAGGCAGTAAATGTGGAAATGGAAGTGAGGAAGAAAACACAGGAATCAGTAAAGAAAGGCAAGTCCTGTTAGTAGGAGTTGGACTTTTGTAATGTGGGCCACTCCAAAATGCAAGATGTGAACTAATTTTAGGAGGAAGATGATCAAATATATCTGGTACGTGTGGGTGCATTTTAATAATGCATTTGTTTTAGTGAATACGAGAAAAGTGATGAGTTTACATTGGAAGAGTTCTCTATTAAAATATAAATATATGGGTAAAATATGAGGTGTGCTAAAGAAACGTAAGTAAATAATAAAGTATATACTTTGCAGATATGGCCCAAATCCTGAAGGTGGTTGAATGACTAATTCGGAAAACCTAGGTTAGGGAGCCCCCTAGTGCTCTATTGTGAAAGTATAACTTTTGCTTTGGTTCTTTTGATCATATTGCTAATTATAGTGTTTCCTGTCTCCAAGACCCACTTCTATTAAAACAACCTATTTCATATCACATGTTGACAGAAACTTAAATTCCAAGATAAATATAAAATTAGTCTCCCCCAGCAATAAGAAATTGACATATATGTTGGAATGGTGGTTTAGAGTTCTTTCCATGACTGTTAATAGATGTATCCCTCTGGTAGCATGAAAGAAATCGTGAGAAGTGAAGAATAATAACTAAAGGAAGACATGTTAACCTAACATATGAGTTTGGGGGACAATCATACTACAGAATCAGATATATGACATTGGGTCCCAGTGAAAAGACTTGGAGATAGATTACTTCCCAGTTGTGAGGCCAAAAGAAAGTCACCCAACTTCTCTGAGTCTCCATGTCTTTATCTATAAAATGAGAATAATTACACCTACCCTGCAGGGGTGTTTTGAAGAGTAGAGAAAAGATATGAAATGACCAGCAAAGAATAGTAGGTAGCTATTTTTATTATATTTAGTACTGTCCATATAAATTGACATTGTGGAATTTTAATTAACTTTGTTTAATTTTAACATCAGAACCCACCTTGAGAACATTTGCTATTAAGGCTCCATTTACTTTAGACATATTGCTGTTTTCAATATACCAGAGTAGCAATTTTCCGAGATTATTTTTATCTTCTATGAGGATCTCATAGATAGCTATGAAGTCTGACTAGGGTTCCCACAAAATATTTAAGATTTAAGATTTCTGATTACCTGACATTTCACCTATGGTATTCACAGTGATTTACTGCAGAGCCCTTGAAATTGAAACATCTCAGAGCTTCAGAGGCTTCAGTTAGTGCAGGGGATATGATCCTGGTCTTTGGCCCACTGATGGTTGTAGACGTGAGTTTTTTTACACATGGATTCTAGGATATGTCCATATTAGTGCCTGCATTGTGAACGGTCTGTGGAGAATATGGAGCTTTAACTAAAAGAAGACATGTTATAACATGGAGTGTTATAACCCGTTATTTATTCTTCCTTTTGTATTCAAGAGTTAGCAGTTTGTGGTATTACATAGCATAAACAGAAGCTGTTTGGAGTTGACTCAGAAATTTAACGTATTAGAGTCATTACCCAATAGTTTAGTTACAGATACCAAAATGGCATCTAGAAATTGAAATGATTTTTAGCTTATGACTAAAATAAGCAACATTTTATTTTAAATAAAGTAATATTTTTCCCACATGACCTTTTTTAAAGAGAGGTAAAGTCAGTGTCCACCTTAGCAGGAACAGGTTATTTCAAGCTGTGTCCTAAAGTTGATCGTGAAAGCAGAAGTTTAGGGAAAGTTATAGTAGACCTGTAGTGTGCGATCAACAGAGGAGTCTTACTGATCTTTTGTTTTCCTGAGCTTAACTTTGCTGTACCCTACTTTCCTGAAAGCTTGCAGAATGCTCCCAAAGACAGCCCCAGTTCTTAGGAGGAGCCTTCCTATCTGGTGTGAGACAAGGAAGGAAGGAAGAAGGGCTGAGACCCCACTGTTGGCATGGAATGATAACCTTCCTAATTTGTATTTCCTGATCCAAGGGGCAGACAGACACACCTTTTCCAGATCTATGAGATTAGAGGGATTAAAACCTCTGATGGCCATTAGGAGCTATTAACTAAATGTATTAGTCAAAGTGACCTAATTTAACAAGGCCCCCTTCTCTTCCCTAAACCTAGATAGTTTGACACAGTATAAGGTACTGCTTGACTCATCAGAGTGCAATGTGATTTGCTGGAGTCTGTGCAGTGACTCAGGGAACAAGTCCTTTGCGTGTTTTAATGCTGCCGTCTTCAACCCATGGGCTCCAAAGCCATAGTAGAAGGGAAAGAAAGAGCGTGGAAGATTATGCAGCAGGTTTTTGTTGGGTCTGGAAGTGGCAAATAACATTTCTGCCTATACTGTTTAGCCTAGAACTCAATCACATGGCCCCAACTTAATCGCAATGAAGATTGGGAAACGTGGTCTTTCTGTGTGCTCAGGAAATAAAGTAAATGAGTTTGGCAAACACATAATATCATCTATGCCACAAAATATTGTAAAAATATTTAAGTAGTCCATTGATGCTTTATCAACATAGGAAGTACTGTCATTGACTAGATATATTACTGAACAATAAACTATATAAAAGTAGTTGATGAGTTAAATACTCAGTGAGTCAGAAAGGCAACCTGGAAAAAGGCATAATACTTTTAAAATTTCAAACTACATTAAAATAGCCTCATAAATAGATTTTGTCATCATAAGTAGCTTTTTTTAAACTGTAAAATTTTCTAAAATGTAACACCTGAAAAAACAGTTCTCTTTACTAGAGAATGGTTATGTTGTGAAGTTATTCTAGCATGAAAGAGGCCTGAAAAGAGTTTAACAATCTAAATGTTTATCCAGACTTTTGTCTTGTTTCTTTATAAAGGATCTCAGACAGAAATGATGCTGCTAAAGTGTATAAGGCCAATACCTTGGATAACCAACTAACCAATAGGTACCAGTATCTACTAACTTTGGGAAAGGCTCAAGTATAGTATTTTTCTAAGTGTTAATGATTTACTTACAATTCTTTGATCCTACTTAATATCCTTCTGTAAATTTTTATCTTCTATATTTTAACACAAAAATTCTGGAGTAAATTCTTTATTCCTGCTCATGGCTAGAATAAAATCTTGTCTGGCTTAAAAATCAAGAGAGCTCATTGCTTCTCAGGGGTGGGGAACCTGCGGCCTTAAGGCCACATGTTCTCTTGCAGCCCTAAGGCCACATGTGGCCTTCTAGATCCTGAAGTGTGACCTTTTGACTGAATCCAAATTGGCTGCATGTTCCCCACCTTTGCTTCCAGTCATCATTCTTAACCACATTTATGTTTCTATTTAAGGCGTCCTGGTGACAAAATTATGAAATGCATGCAAATGAAAATTTTAAATTCTTATTATTAAAGAAAATTACTGAACCCAACAAACAAAAACATTGGGCTTTTAAGAGATATTGGGTTTTCCCAGAAGAAAAAAAAATTCCTTTGGAATCTGGTACAAGAAATAGAATCATGGAATCGCCTTATCAAATTTATTCAAACATTGATACTTTCTTTTTCTTTCTCTCAAATAATACTTAACTTTTAATAATAATAAGTCTAAATTTATGGACAATTGCAAATAGATGCAAGTGTTAATTTTTTGTTACTGCTGAAATTTTGCCTTTGTTTTTTCCTCTCTGGTACCAGGAATATGTCCACATTTAGATCATCGGAAGCAACAAAGTCGTACGTACTTTCCTAATTTCTTCATATATGTTCATGAGAATATAGGGTTTACCTCTCTTTTATTGGAACACAGCCACAGTTTTATTGGAACACAGTCACACCTATTGCTCTGGCAGAGTTGAGTAGTAGAGGTCAGATACTGAAAAGGTCTAACAAAGGTTCAAATATTCATTCTCTGGACTTTTGCAGAAAAAGTTGCCGACTGTTACTCTAATCAAACACCAAAGTTTGGGTCATCCTTTTTTCTTCCTCTTTTAGAAAATCTAGACTCTATTTTTTCCCCACAAAGCTTTGTTTCCCTCTACTCCTACTTGCTTCCCCTACAGCTCACTTCCCTTCCCACATACCCTTCACAGCTACACCTCCTCTTTCAGGGAAAATTGAGTTGTGCAATGATAGGTCTGCTCACAGTCTATTTAGGTGAAATGCATTACTCCTGGAATGTACTACTGGCGGTTATAAGCAGCCCAAATTAGATAGAGTTTTTTTAAACTTAATTGGCTTTTAGATTTGTATTTACATGTAAAGTAATTCTCACACTGGACCATACCTCTCAGTGCTTGAAGCAGGCATGGATCACTTCCATTTTCTGAGGGTCTGAATATGTTAATAAATGCTAAATAGAGACTTAAAATGATATGATTTAAAAATTCTTCTTAAACAAACTAATGTTTCAATGCAAAAAATTGCAATATAATTCAGTTAGTCACAACATAATCACAGGATTAAAAAATATGAATCCATGGCATATCCGAACTGATTGGTGTGAATTTCAGACACACAATTAATGTCATTTTATGAATGACTCCTGCATTCATTCCTTTCAGTTTTAGCTAGTTGTATGAGAGCCTGACAATTTATAAATGGGTAAACTAAGGAAGAACTTTTTTTTTGTTGTTCTTCCATCCTCAAGGGAAACACTTTGTGGTAGACAGAGAGCAGGCAGGAATATGAATAGATTATAAGATCTTTCAAAGGTGGGGTAGAATGAAAAAGTGAGGAATGTGATGATCTGTTGTTTTTGTCATTAAACAGGCAACCTGGTGGTTTGTTGAGTGTAAACACTGCTAATACCACAGCTTCCACCTCTGCAGCTACTCCTGTAAAGAAGAAGAGGTAGGATGAGAGCTCCTTGTGTCTGCCTCTTGCTGATATCCTGCAAAGGACTGTTCTTTATTGACTTTTGAACCAAATCCTCCACCAAAACTCCCAGGCAGTGTTCAGAGCTTGATCCTCTCCTTCCCGTGGATTCAGCGCCTACATTCTATTATTCCCAAACTTCAGTTCTTTCCCCCTACAATCTCCTTTTCAAATACACAGTCTTCTCTCCAGTTGCCTTAGGGCCTCGAGTTTCTAGGTAATGTCTTTGATGATAGAGCTCAGATGTTAAACGGCAGGCTACTTCGGGTTACGTGTTTTATAGAGTCCTGCTACAGGGAATGCCTTAGCCTGAAATAATGATCGATGTATGGCCACATGTTGCCATGCTCCTGAAACCAGCCTGCTCTCAGATTGGGCTGACTCTACTTCCAGTGCAGAGTCCATGGCCATCTCTCAAGACATCTGTCTGTGTTTATGTGATTATTGCCTCTTCCTGTGACTCCTCTGCGTGGTTGCCCACACTCTGCTGGAGCTAGGTTCTATGTATCTAGTAGTTAAGGAGGAGCAGTTGGACCTGTGGTGGCCTGGATGGTCTTCATGGCAGGGAACATGATGGTGAAAGAGATTTTTGCGTGTTGAAGAGAACACAGTGCTAGTGAATCATGGTGCAAATGGAAAACAAGCATTCATAAATATCAGTGATTTTTAATTTTCTTATTTTCTTTGCCTGGTATAGGGTAGGTGCTCAGTATTTGTTGATGGACTGGCTGACTTTGCCATGGTGATGCTGTAATCCTTCTGGAGAGAAATGACTGCTTCTGTTTTCCCTGCAGTCGAGGTTCTGGTTATAACTGCAGAGTCTCAGAAAATGTCATTCACCTTTCCCTTGATCCCAAATTTCACATTCCCTTGATGCTTTGTCTGTTTAAAACAGATTCCTAAGGTTGAAAGAGAAATTTAAGATCAGTTAGTTCAATCTCCTACCCAGTGCAAGAATCTTTCCTCTGAGAGATTAGGCACAATTCAGGACCACTGAAGCCAGCAGTAAGATTCTCACTATTTTATGATACACGTTTGACTTGCTCTCCTGGGTGGCATCTACTCCTGACATTGAGCTGGAATTTTTGTTATTGACTCCCAGCTGGTCTTAGTTCAGTCCTATGATGCCCCAGAGAATAGAGCTACTTCAAGAATTTAAAGCCAGCTCTTCTGTCCTCCTTATCCCAGCCTTTCCTTCTCCCATTTGCATCACGGTGCTCTCAACATCTTCACTTTGGTTCATATCTTAGTGTTTTTTTTTTTGACAGAGGCCTTAACTATTGCTATCAATTAAAATGATGTCCTGGTGGTGTGAGGACATCTTTCTGATTAAGGTTAAAGTTGAGGTTAGTGTTGCTATGGTGCCATTTATGTTTTCAATATTCTTACTTGCCAGAGTTTTCTATCACACTTTTTTTTTTTAAATCATGTTTCAAGTAGGGCATAAGATTGTTATTTCTGTTTTGAAGTAGTTTCAGTAGGCAGAAAAATAGAGAGAATAACATAACATGATTAACATCCATGAACCTACTATCTAGATTTAGCAATTGTTATTATTTTCCAGATTTGCTTTATATTTCTTTTTAAAGAAATGTCTATTATTTAGTGCCAAACGAAATGAGAAAAGAAGTTTTGAAGGAGCAGATAGCCTGGAATGTAGGATATTTACTTCCTATTTCATTTATGAACTAGTGTTCATTTTATTTCTAAGGCCTTGTATAATCTCATTGTCTTTTTAATTGTCAAATTATTTTCAGACAGGTGGGTGGGATCAGCCTTTCAAGCACTATGTTTATTACTACTGATGTCATTTCTTAACAGACAGTCCTGGTTTCCGCCACCCCCTCCAGGTTATAATGCCATCCTGAGCACAGGTGCCAGCAGAAGGTAAGGGAAAGGTGTCATATGTAATTGCAATGCCATTGAATGAAAGAATGTGTCAGACATTGACAACATGTAATTGTTGCTTTGGAATAATAATAATGGATGCTTTGGAATAAATTGGAGGCAATTTTGTGAAGTTGAGCTCTGAACAAGACAGTGCCCAATGGGAGTGAGGTCAGGGCCACAGGTCCCCCTGGTAGGAAATCTGACAAGCTATGAGGAGTAAGCAGGTGGCTGTATTAGTTTGCTAGGGTTGCTGTAATGAAGTGCTGCAAACTGGGTAGCTTAAGCAAGAGAAATTTATTGCCTCACAGTTTTAGGTGCTACAAGTCCAAGATCAAGGTGTCAGCAGTGTTGGTTGGGTAAGAGAGAGTTTGTTCCATGCTCTCCCTAACTTCTGGTGGTTTCCTGGCAATCACTGACATTGCCTAGTTTGTACAAGCATTATCCCGATCTCAGCCTTCATCTTCATATGGCCTTCTTCCTACATGCATGTCTGAATCCAAATTTCCCTTTCTTATAAACTCACCAATCAAACTGGATTAGTGGTCCAGCCTACTTCAGTGTGATCTCATCCTAACTTAACTAATTACATGTGCAATGACTCTATTTCCAAGTAAGGTCACATTCTGAGAAATTGCAGGTTAGGATTTCAACATATGAATTTTGG